TTACAAATTCATCTCAAATTTTGTTGCTTCCTTTTTTTGTCTTTGTTTTCATTTGGGATGAGTCATGAACCTATTTGATGAGTAACATGTGGATGATTTTTACACTATCCTTATAATTGTTAGAGTTTCTTAATTAATGGGATAAGGTGACGCCTGAGGTTGGTGATTGCAACCCAATGTATCAGGGATGATCGTGTCCATGGGATTAGACTCTATAAAATCATTTATAAGTACCCAATATATCAGTGTATTGATTATTTTATAAATTGGAAGTATTGTAGTGAGATGCGATGAGTTAAAGGAAGAAATCACCTCATTTATCATGTGTTTTTGTATTTGTGTTTGTGTTACAACAATATATAAGGATTGGAGAACTCTTAAATATATATTTTTATGTTGATATCTGTCATGCTTTTTAGTCCTTTCTTTAGTTTAATTTTATTCTGGCATGTTTAGTTTAGATTTACTTTCTATTGCATATTGTTCTGTCCTGATAAATACTTGTAGATGTTTCTGATAAAAATTTGTGGTAGATAGAATTTTTGAACTATTTTTCTTCTTGATTATATTTTCTGTATTGAATGTTATACATGTTAAAAATTAAGTTTGGGGGTAGAAAGAAAAATAAATTTAAAGTTAGTATACTTTCTTTTTAGTTTAATATTACTACAAGCATATTTTAGGCTAGATTTACTTTCTCATGCAGTTATTTTATCCTAATTATGCATGTATATGAATTAGATAGGATGTTGTAGTAGTTATTAATATTAGCTTTTACTTTTCCTCCTATTACATTTTATGTAATTGATTGTAAAATATTTAAAAATTCAAGTTTGGGGGAGGAAGAAAAATCTTTCGAACTTAACTTTATTTTTCCTTAGTAACCTGTATTTAGTTTGATATCACTTTTAAATGACTTGTGGCATGTGGTGTCAACTTTAGGTTACTATAACTCTGATTTTAAGAATGTTAGAAGAATACCTTAGTTGAAATCCTATGTGATGAAATTGTTCTAGAGTTAAGATATTTATTGGAAAATATTAGAAAAATGATTTTGCTATTTATGGTAGACAGGAGTTGAATATTTGAAAAGCTAAGATTCTTTGATTTATAATTATTAAGAATTGAGCCTTTATTGAAACATTTTTCAAATTAATACTTACACTTTTAAAAAGTGAGCGAAAGTTTTGAGTTTTGAATTTTAGAAAGAGGATGGTGAAATTCAAAATTATTAAAGGCTTATCCAGATATAGTAATCCTCACATAAAAAATGGGATTAAAAATGATCCTAAAAAAAGAAAAAAAGAAAAAGAAAAAAAAGGGAAAAGAAAAAGAAAATATGTGAGGAGAAGCTTAAGGAGAAACCTAATGAAAAATTGGTTTCACTTGAATCTTTTTAAATGAAATGACTTAGAAACAATCCTAAGCTTATACTTATTTCAAAAAAAAAATTATTGGTTAAATTGGTCTAAATAAGGTCCTTAAATTCTATTTTTAAACATTTTTTGAATTTTTAGTATGACAAAGTTCAATAACTTTTGAAGTAAATAGAAAATCAGGATTCATAAGTTGAATATAAGATATTATTATACCCTAGTTCGAGATATTCTTAGATATTATTATACCCTAGTTCTAGGTTGATTTACTAGAATTTCTCACAAGTTATACTATAACATTTCTGAGACAAAATTATAGAAAACACTATTGAAACCCACTACCTTATATAAACAAATTTTGTCTTTAAAGCTATAGTGTTACTCGAGGACAAGTAACGTTTAAGTTTGTTGTTATTAATCTACTGAAAATTACCTGTTTTTAGAGTACATTTTATGCTCATTTTATGCATATTTTTAATTATTTTACACATTAAAAGAAGGTATATTGTATATTTTTATCTTCAGGTACATGAAATGGACTTTTGATGAAAATAAAGCAAAAATAGTGCAATTTGGAGCCAAATTTAGAAAAGAAGAAAATTCTGATTTGGTGCATTTTGATATGACTTTCCATGTTTAATCTCCTTCATATTTATTTCATATTTTTGAATGAAATTACACTATCAATAAATATTATTTTCATGTTTATCTTGTAGGTAAACCAATCTGGAGCACAATGAAGCTGAAGTGTGGTGAAACAGAGCTAAAACGATACGAAACGATAGAGTTGCGTGTAGGGTGGTGCTATCGTGCCAAGAATGGCGCCATAGCACCAGAAACATGTGATATAGCGTCAGAGACGGTTATTGGATGGGTTTTTGGTGATGTTGGGCCATTCTGGGATGTTCTGGAAGCTTCTGGACAACTTGCACGCCTCATGGAGTGATTCAATGAATCTAGATATTTTTGAAAAGCATTTGAATGAAGAAATGTGTCTCTTGGAGTGAAATGGTGTGTCTTTTACATTAAGAGATGCATCTCTTAGGGAAAGGAGGAGTTTTTGTGTGTCTTTAAAAAGAGGGGCTTGACGCCTCTCATGAGAAGTAATTAGAGGAGTCTAGAGAAGAAATTAGGAAGTGTTTTAAGAGAAGTTTGGCGTCAGTTTATGCAGATGTAGATTTCTCCATTTTTTGAAGAGATTGGCGATTAATTTTATAAAATATGAATAAGGATGCATGAGCGGCGCATGGATTGATAAGAGACTTTGTTGGAGAGATTTTTCTTCTTTCGTTCAAGGTAAAAAAGCTAAGTATTGCGTTTTTCATTTCCTTGTAATTGTTGTAAACACTTTCTAGTGGATTTTATTTAATTTAAACGAGGCTTCATGTTTTGTTTTATCCATGTTTTGTAAGTAGTTTTCCTTAATCTTTTCTTTTAATATGATGTAGTGGCATGTGCAGAAAAATTTGTTTTATGATAGAGTTATTTTTATTTTCATGTGATGAGTAATATCGTCTTTGCATCATTGACATAACTTAAGTGGCAATAAGTTATGTTAAAATTTGTTGCATATGAAACTAAGACTCGGGAGAGCAGTGATCTTGCAACTTGAGTGCACTCACATTGACCGGTTTGCTAGTAAAATAGTTTAGGCGGCAATGCAACTTTTAAGAAAATATAATTTAATGATTTGTTTCTATTAGATGCTTCTAGATGATAGATAGTTGCATAAAACTAATAGAATACTTAGAAAACTTATACACTAGAAAGATGGTAAGTAGACATATATTCCTTCTAAGCACATAATTTATTACTTAATTCTATCAATCCTTTTACTGCTTCTGTCATTATCTTCATTTTATTTTTTTTTACAATGAAATAGATGCATGTTCAAAAATTTAGATTTTCTTCGATATTCTCTTATTTTATTAATGTTATGGTATTTTCACGAGCTCTTAATTGACTTTGCAAACTGATCACTTGTGAGGTTAAAATCCGTTGAGAAATATAATGACCCGGGAGGGCTATTATTTCACCAAACTAGTGGATACCACACTTCATTTTATGCAGAGCCAATGTGATCACCTAAGGGGGAGTTCAAATAAAAAGGGAGATTAGTTTTGATGAGCATAGAATTGGTTAGTTCTAGAGTGACAAGCTAGATTCTTATCAATTTGGCCTAAGATTTAGTACCCTGATGTTGGGATTCGACCATCATAGAGGCATAGGCTTTAGGGCATCTAGAGGTGAGAGGCTAGATAGTTCTGATGCAAAATTGAGATGCTAAGAAATCGGCCTTAAGTTAGCCAATGTCCTTTTCTAGCACCATAAGGGGATAAATAATAGGTATGCTCCTATTTATCACTGACAACATTATATTTTTAAGCATTTCATTCCTTCACATTATCTAGGTCATTGCACATGAAGAATAGTCTTTAATATCTCAAAATTCTCCAAAACAACTTATCTAGAAAAGTTATCTTTATATCTAAAAAAGTTTTCCTTAGATTTAATATTTTCATTTAGGAAAAGTTATTAAAAAAACCACTTTAATCGATAATCGATATTCCCACTTTAATCGATATTCCAAACTAAGACTTGATAGTAGTAAATTAGAATTAGCCTAAGGGATTTCTTACCTCGCTTCTCTGTGGGATTGATACTTGGGGTCTTAAAAGAAAACCCTACAGTACTTAAAACGATACATATACTCGCATAGAACCCTTAGTGTGTGAAATAGAAATCAAATTCTAAATTTTATAAAATATTATTTTGCACACTAGCCGCTTAAATATAAATTGGGCCATGTTTTTCGTCATCTTTAGGAGTTTAAAAATCTATGTAATTGTGGGTCGGTTCAATGATCGTTGGGTATATTCCTCAAAACAATAAAATCCTTTACAACTCCGTGGACGTAGGTAGTTTGTCGAACCACATAAATCTATGTGTGTTTCCACTGCGTCTTTTTTGCTTTGCAATTTTTTCTTGATCTAGTTTTTCACTTTATTATCATCATTTTTCACAACAATTGGTATCAGAGCCCTAGTTTGAATTCAAGGAAAAAAAATGGCCAGAGACAAAGTGAAGGCTTTAGGGATTGAGAAGTTTGATGACACAAATTTTGGGTACTGGACGATGCAGATAGAGGACTACCTCTATAGGAAGAAACTTCATCTTCCGTTAGAAAGCAAATAGAGAAGATGGATGGGGCCGATTGGAATTTGTTGGATCTATAGGTTCTGGGGGTTATTTTATTGACCCTATCGATATCAGTTGCACATAACTTCATTAAAGAGAGGACCATTGGGGATCTCATCACAACTTTGTCAGGTATGCATGAAAAGCCATCGACAAATAAAAAGATGCATCTGATGAAAAATTTATTCAACTTAAAGATGGTGGAAGGTGTGTTTATTTCATTTAGCATCTGAATGATTTCAACACCATCACAAATTAATTTCATCTGTTGAAATTAATTTTGATGATGAGATAAGTGCACTATTATTGTTGGCTTCATTATCAAGTAGCTTGAAAGCCATGAGGATGGCAATTAACAACTTTACAAGTAAAACTAAGCTAAAATATGATAATATTCATGATTTAATTTTGGCTGAGGAGGTGCGCATGAAGGATTTTGGCGAGACCTCGTGTTTGATTTTGTCACTGAATGTTAATTCTAGAGGTAGATCACAAGACAGGAACTCAAACAGAGGAATATCAAAATCAAAGCATAGAAGCAAGAGCAAGTCAAAGCCTGGTCAGCAAGCAACCTGCAGGAATTATAACAAAACTGGCCAGATAAAGAAGAACTGTAAAAATCCTAAGAAGACAGAGAATTTTAGTGCTAATGTTGTAACTGAAGAAGTGCAACGTGCACTATTGCTTACAATTTATAACTTCATTGACGACTGGATACTAGACTCAGAGGCTTCTTGTTTTGCATCTTCCAATAGAGAGTTAATGGAAAAATATGTTGCAGATGCCTTTGTGAAGGTTTACGTGGCTGATAGAACAACTTTAAACGTGGTTAGGATGGGAGATGTTGAAATTATACTCCCTAACAAGAATAAAGGGATCTTGCAAAAGATCAAACACATTCCTGAATCGAAAAAGAACCTCATTTCTGTTAGGCAGCTTAATGAAGGTGGTCATTCAGTAGTGTTCTCTAATAACACCTGAAAGGTTACCAAAGGAGCTGGAACTGGCTCGGGGAAATAAGATTGGTACGCTATATATAACTACTGGTCTAATTAACAATATTTACACTACAATTGCAGAGAGCACAACATACATTTCGCATTGTAGGCTTGGACACATGAGTCAGAGATGTATGAAAGAGCTTTAGTCCAGAGGCAAGCTACCATAACCGAAATAAGTTGATCTCAACATGTGTAAAGTTGCATTATTGGGAAGAAGAAAAAGTTCAGTTTCCTGAAAGGTACTAGGGTGTGAAAGACAGAAAAACTAGAACTTGTACACACAGATGTTTGGGGACCTTCCCCAATGGAATCTCTGGGAGGCTCTTGCTACTATGTCACTTTAATAGATGACCACAACAAAAATGTATGAGTTTAGTTTATAAAACATAAATTTGATGTATTTTATATGTTTAAAACTTTGAAGGTTATGGTTGAGACAGAGACAGATGTAAAACAGAAATGTTTGAGATCTGATAATGGTGGTGAGTACATGCAATATTTGGGCCTAGGCTTGGGTGTGTGAATATGTAAGTGGTGGCGAAGCCGTGTATACAATCGTCACATTGATTCGGACCCGTTTCGACCTGTTCGAAACAAGATTTGGAAGGGATACCCTTCTTGGGCTGATCCTGATCCATTTATAAAATTTGAGAATTTATAAAATTTGAGAAAATGATATCATTTTTGGGTTGATTCAAGGATCTTGGGACCTCATTTTCAGGTCTTTTCGTCATAAGTTTTGAGGGCTGATTCACCCTTCGCCTTTTTAATCTTTTGGGTGGATCAGTTCCTCCTCTCTCTCACCCTTATTATTTTTTTTTCTTGCTTATGGCGGGTTCAAGGAGTTCTGTGCAGCTCAGAGTATTAGAATGGAGAAGACTATTCTCGGGACACCACTACAAAATGGAGTTACAGAGCATATGAACATGACCATGAATGAGTGTGCCAAGAGCATGAGATTGCACGCTGAACTACCACCAACTTTGTGGGCTGATGCAGTCGGCACTATAATTTACTTGATCAACAAGGGACCATCCATCCCATTAAGCTATGAATTACCTGAGGAGGTCAGGAGCAGCAAAGAGGTTAAATTTTCTCATCTTAAGACTTTTGATTGTCTTTCTTATGTTCTAATCAATCCTGATGTTGTAGCAAGCTTGAAGCTAAGTGAAAGAAATGTTATTTCATTGGCTATGGAGACAAAGCATTTGGCTACCGTTTCTGAGATGATCAGGATTGGAAGATCATTATAAGCAGGCATGTGATGTTAGATCATTATGAGCAGGAATGTGATCTTTAATGAGATGATGATGTGCAAGGACAAAGCCAGTGCAAATTCAGAAGCAACTCCTCAGGAATTGGAGTTCATGAGGTTTGACAATCTACCAGAGGTCACAATATATGAAAAAAATATGATTGATGAGGAAAGTGGGTTTGGGGAACCCATTTCTATTATTCAGAACTATTGCTATACTGTGCATAAGCATCCAGTATGGGATCAATATCCCATATTAAAATATTATAAATATAATCGCATAAATCGCACTTTACATCACTATATATAGAAAGTTTGTATCATGGGGCCACTTTCAAGCTCCTTTAAAAAGGTTTTTAACCCTTTTGATGACACACTCTAACCCATGCTTAGCCAAATCCTTTGGATAGGGACCTCTCCAAACTATTTTAGCTGGCTCACTTGACCTTGGTCAGCCATAGGAAGCCACCCAAGCTCATTCCAATGGAGCTAGACCCATAGTTGGCCCAACCTTTTTTGTCAAATTATGAAAAGGCTCGTAATCATCATCATTAGAGATGTCTAACCTGAATAGGTTGAGCTTGAATCCGACCTGAATATTATACAAGTTAAAATTCTCAAATCGAACCCGATCCGCCTTCAAACCCATCAACCAAAATCCAACTAGTTTAACATGTTTAACAAAAGAATTATAATAGTTATTCAAGTTAAAATTAGGTGAATTTCAAGTTGATTCTGGGTTGTTAGGTCGATTTCAAGTTAATTTAAGGTTGGCGGATCGACACAAACCCAATTAGAAAAATTAAATGGGTTAGGATATTTAATCCGAACCCCACCCAACCACAATATTTTTTTTTAGTTGGGTTCGGGTCTAGTTGGCGTGTTAGGTCAATTTTGGATACCCTTAATCATAATAAAATCAAATTTAACTTTTTTTTTATAATTGATAGAATGACTTCTAATTGTGCACTCAAGAAAAGCTATTTTAAGCAAATTTGATCTTGTATTAGAGAAGAGGATCCAAGAGAAAGAGATGATGACGGATGAGTTTGAGCAATCAGATTTATTAGGTTACATTCTCCAAAATTCAAACCTTAATGTCGAGCAAATTGGCGATCTATTGCTCGGGTTAATCTTTGGAGGACACGAGACAACGACTACTTCAATTGTTTTGTCAATCTACTACCTTCATCAGTGCCCAAAGGCTTTGGAGCAACTAAGGGTAAGTACAAAAGCTCAGATTCAATTATTGCTTAATTTATTATCATTGTTTTCACCATTGAAAACTATTTAACTTTGATTTCATTTGTATGAACAAATAATTACAAAGAACATGTTGGCATAATTAAGAGTAAGATGGAAAGAGGAGCCGCAGCAGGGCTGACATGGGATGACTATAAGAAAATGAGCTTCACTCAATGCTTAAGTATCAATTTTAATTTTAGCAGCTTAATTCTTTTATCATGTATTAATGGTCTAAACCCTTATTGCATAGCCCAAAGATTAATTCTCTTTTTATTCTAAACATTTATTTACTTATTTTATTTTGTTAAATATATAAAAATATTTTATTTCACATCAACATGCAGCAATCATCATATTTCTTCTAAACTATTTCAGTCATTATTTAATTATGATATTATTTTAATTTGTTGATTTGTGGAATTAGTCCAAGGATTGGAGAGTAATTAACTAAACTAACTTCGATTTATAAAGGTGATTAGCGAGTCACTGCGTCTGGGAAACATCATAAAGTTGATTAGGAAAAAGGCAAGCCCGGATATTCACTACAAAGGTATATATGTAAAGTGAAAATACGGAATATATCATATTTTGTGAAGAATCTTTTTAATGATTAATTACAGCCAATAATTAATCCAAATTAAATTTACTTAATTTAATTTATACCCTTGGTTTAATCAGGCTACGATATTCCAAGTGGATGGAGTGTGATTTTACTGCTTGTATCAGCCCATATGGACTCCTCGGTGTATGAAGATCCTGAAAAACTTGATCCCTGGAGATGGAAGGTATGTTATTTAAATCATGAAATTTACATGTAAAAGAAAAGATTACTTTATGTATTTATCAAAAAAGAGGGGGCTAAGATGCATAATCAACTCTTAATTTATTCCGAGGAATCCTCAAAGCACAGCATACATGCCATTTGGTGGAGGACTTAGAAAATGCCCAGGACAAGAACTAGCCAGAATGGAGACAGCCATATTTCTCCACCATTTTCTCCTCAACTTTGACTGGGAGGTGGCTGAGCCCGACCATCCGAAGGGCTCTGCAATTCTGCAGTTTTTTAAGGGCCTTCCTGTAAAAGTTCGTTGTCGACCACCCTCTTGGTTATTTAAATAATTTATAAATTTATTACATTTGAATTTTGCATCCGTTAATTCATGTGACAACATTATCATGCATTTAATTTCTACGTACTGTAACCATATGATAGAATAGTGGGGAGTATAATAAATCTGAACAGTGGAAATCAATCAAAGTTGTAGTTGTGGAAGCCATGAGTGATGGTTTATGGAATGGGAAGAAGTATGGAGAGAAAAATCCTTATTATAGCTAGCATTAAATTGCTGATAAAATTCTTATTTAATTCTTTTTTGAAAAGTAATTGAGCTCTAACTGCAAAAAAAGGGGAACAAAATTAATTCTCAGTTTGGGAGAATTAACTATTAAAACTGCTGCCAAATAAATAAAAAAAAAAATCTATTTTTAATATAATTTTTATAATCACAAAATATCATATTAAAAACAGCATTCATTTTCATATTTTAATGGTCAAATTCATCTTTTATGTGATTTTATCTGTTGATTGATTGTGGATTTGGTCCAACCATTTGAGAGAGTGATAAATAGCATTAATTGTAGTACATGAAAATGATTAATTAGTGGGTCATTTCATGTCAAAAATATCATAAAGATTTTTAGAAAGTCCATTCATTTGAATTTAATAAATCCTTTCATTTGAGCTTTATAACCTTCATTTCTTTCATTACCTATAGTTAATAGAATATTACACACACAAGATAGAATATTACACACACAAAAATTGGGCAAAACAACATAAATTAGCAATAACTAGAAAAATTAGGAACAAAATAATACTATGATTTAGCATATTTAATCATTGCTATACAATCAATAAATCATAGAAACTACCGTAAAAATTTGCTGAAAAAAAGTGGCGTTGATGAACTATAAAAAAATAAAATTTTATCTAATGAAACTGAGAGTGCTAAAAAGACGTTTGATGTGAGACCACAAGCGTCTTCCTAAAGACATGAGTCGAGTAAATAGACTCCAACTACGAGTTGAAGGGCTAACGATACAGTCATTCTTCTTTTCAAGGAAGACTCCTTGGCCGATCTCATTGCTCACTGCCGCTAACTTTTGCTGATCAATAGCATTGGTACTGGTAGAAGATGAGGCATCCGTGATGTAAAAAGAGCCAACTATTAATTCGTTCTCCTTGGCAAATTTCATGTTATTGAGTGACAAGTTGTTCTCTTTTAATGTCCTACTCACATTAGAGAGTAGATCGTGGCGGTCATAAGTAAGCATCTCCATTTTTAGCCCCTACGCTCAATAACAAACATATATAAATATATATTCAGCATGCAAAAAATAACATATTTCTATTGATCTAAAGTTATAAGAAAATCATGAATACTCGAGATATTCTTCGTTCGATAGCAGCTACTAAACGTTGAAAAGTGTTATGTTTCTCCATCTCACTGAGAATTATGGACCCATTCGTGTGCCTCACAAAATATTCCTGCATTGAAAAAAAATGTAAAAGATAAATTCACAGATATAATTTACAATTTAAGTGTTACAAAAATATTAATCATGCGCACCTGAACTATCACATCATCTTCAGAGCAAATGGAGCCATGAAATATATCATAATTAAGATCCGTCAGAGTGCACACTACATCAAATATAAGCTTAGGTCGATCTCTACTCCTCACATTCAAAACCAAGTAATCTCTATATTGCCAATTCTCAATCAAAACTTGTGGCAAGCACTCCACGTTGCCTTCAACAACACCCACAAAATTCCTTTTAGCTTCCTTGGTGGTAGCCAAGGTCGATTGATCACTCTTGATTGATAATGATAATGTTTTGACATCATAATCCATATACTTATTCATCATTTGATGTAATCGACGCTCCGTATGAATTTGACGATCTGGGGGGTTTTTTATTTCCACTGTAAATAGCTCACCAGGAGAGTGTCGTGCATCTAAAATGCTCGCCACATACTCTCCCAAATAATCCAATCTATCTTCATCCATGATGTGTCGCCCTACATTGTCTTGCTCTTTTATATAGAGGACGCAAGCGGCAATTCCATTATAGGTCCATAAATCGCCCGAGTCTACGAAAAGCAAGGTGCAAATGTCAGAGAAGATTCCTGGGCGATCAAAGAATGTAACTTCAAGGGCGGCACAATCTGAGCCAAAATGGTTAACGGTGACTATGTTGCCGTTTCTGATTTTGACCTGAGTTGTGCTGCAAGATCCTTTTTCTTTTTGAACGAGATTGAGAGAATCTTGCATATATTGTATGAGATTGAAATCTTTAATTTTGTGACCTTGGGGATCGGTAACATGAAAAGAATTCATGAACCAACCGCCATCCGATGAAATGTAGGACTTGGAGATGATGAGGTCTAAATCACTCATAACTTGAATAATTTTTAGCAGGATACCGTATCTGTTTGCCCCATGCACCTGCATTTATCTCAACAATATCAATTAATATACAAGAGGAAAAAATATATATATGATTTGTTTCAAAACATTAAGAGAAAATATTCTAATAGTAGAAGAGGAAAATACATTACCTTGATGATATTAAAATCATCACATGTGTCATTATCAACAGACACCCTACAACAAACAATCAACAATCATCAAAGTTACTTGATGAAAATAAAATACACCAACTAATTTCTTACATTAGAGAGAAATATTTTTCTATTTAAGCATTAATAATTTCATTTTTTTCTTACAACAATAGTTGCATATGAATAGTAAGCCTAGCAAATTCAAATGCCCATCTCCTTTTATGGAATTAAAAAGATAATAAAAAAAATTCAAATTTAAATTAAAATTACCCGAGCGGAGGGATGTATTCGAAGAGGGGACGTAGTCAATGTCGAAGTAGGGGCAACCATGAGCCATTGTTGTGTCTCTGAAAATGATAACTTTTTTTTTTATTGTTTCTTGATGATAAAATTTACTCAACGGAGGCCTTAATATAATAAGATATATGAAATAATACAAAGTATTAATTTGAAATGAAGGAACGAAGCAAATACAGTAACTAACAGAAGCGTAGGAAGGAGGAGAAGTCTGCACGGTAACTGAGAGCTGGAACACGATTTGATTAAGATGATAACGGATCCATCGACGGAGATTATATATATATATTCATATATTTATTTATTTAAATTGGTATTTTAAAGTTATTTATTAATTCTTTAGCCCTAATTATTTGGAGATAATTTCTTTCTTGATTACGCCTTCCTCCATTTCCTCGCCGGATTGCTTGGTTTCCGTTGTGGACTATATATATATATATATATATATAATCTTTATGAATTAGTTATCAGAACGTATTTTTAGAAATTATTCGTGGGATTTCTTTATTTTCTTGTTTCCGAATTTGCAGCATTCCGTTTCTGGAATTACTTCAAACCTTGTGATTCGGAATTCAAATTAATATTATTTAAAGAGAGAGAGAAATTTTTTATAAATAGGGTAAAAATTATGATGAGGGTTTTTTATGTAATTGACAGAAAAAAAAATGACATAATTATGTAATTTAAACTGTTAAAGTAAATATCTATAGCCGAGTTTATATATCTTAACGAGCCGAACATGAACAACACGCACAAATATTTGTTCGTCGTGTTCGGCTCGAAATACTACTAATCAATTATATATATATATATATATATAGTTCTTTGATGAGTAGTATTTTTAAAAATATTAATTGACTACAAGGCTACAAAGATTTATAATCAATTACAAGTATTAATGAAGAATATAGAATAAAAAATATTAAATTAGATTCAAAGGATGTTTTAAATCTTGCCCCAATCATTAACATCTTATGACTATATGATTAGGGTTGTCAAAATGATTCTTTGTTCGTTAACGGCTCGTGTTCAACTTGCTAAACAAACGAGTCGAACACGAACACAATTTTTTAGCTCGAAATATAAACGAGCCGAACACGTGGTAAGCTTGCGCTCGCTTGAGTTCGGCTCGTTTACACCCCTAATTCTATGTTTATGACAGCATTCTTCAAAATTTAAACTTTAAATTAGATGAAATTAAGTGCTTGAAATATATATTTTTTTTTTTTGGACACGAAATGATGATCCTTTTTATTGTTTTTTGTGTTTATTATTTTCATGATTAGCCGCGTGGCCGTGTCTTTGGAACATCGAAGGGGATGAATAACAGTTCAAATTTAGCACAATTAATTAAGAGCCTCTTCGGGATCATTTTTTTCTTTTTTTATTTTCTTTTTAATTTTAGGCACACATTTAATGGTGTTATGATTTATATGTTTTAAAAAACCAAGAAAATATATAAAACATGTTTGTTAGGACAGTTGAGTGCATGTGCTTTCAAGTGTTAAGCTCTGCCGCCAATGGTGTATACGACGTCTTCTTTGCTCCATCAAGCACGAAATATTGCTATGGGCGTGTGGCAAGTGGCGGATGGGCGGCAATTGTCGGCGGCCATCGACTGGCTATGGCAAGGGCAGGTAGCCAACGGGGTCGGCGGAGGGTAGCGACGTGCTGCTGCCAGCGGCATTGGGAGGCGGCAAGCGGGGGGCGACAGCAACAGGTGGCAGCCAGCATTCCGAGGGACTCATTGTTTTCGGTGTTTTAAAAGCAAACAAAAACTTATTTTTTTCTATTTTTGAGTATTTTAAAAATAGACATGTTCCTCCAAAAAATAAAAAATAAAAAATAAATAAAAAAAATAAAAATTGATCTCAAACAAGGTAAGGTGGGAAGAAGAGAGCATAAGGACAGGCAGATGGGATGAGCGCAAAAAGTTGGCTCCACTCGTTGCGTTAAGAATCAATTTTGTTTTTGCGGCTTAATTCATGACATATTTCTTGATGATGTAACCCTTTAATTACATAATTCATTGATATTTGCTTTGTTAATGTAACATAATTTATTTTATTCTAGTTTTTAAATTTTATATAAAAATCTGCTTAGAATTACATTTTTCTTAAAAAAAAAAATTAGATGTCATTTTTATGTTCTTCTAAACTTAGTTATTTTTTAATGAAAATATTTATATATTTTTACAAAAAAAAGACCAAAACATTTGGACTTCAAAATGCATCATAATACTTCTCGGCCATACTTCTCAGCCATTTTTAGTTTCTCTATAATTTTGATATAATTAAATTTATTGGCTTGTGGATTAAGCCCCAATCATTAGGGAGAGTAAATAACATAATTAACTTTGTTATGTAAACGTGATTGCGAGCCATTTCGTCTGGGAATTATCGTAAAGTTGATTAGAATGAAGGCAACCATGAATATTCACTACCAAGGTACATATAACCGTAACAGTTTCTGTATGTATGTATATATACATATATATATA